TTTTTGTGTGTGATTTGAATGCTTTTAAACTTGTGACAACTTTAAAACACAGGGTTAATAAAAAGTAAATTAACTAATTTCATATTTGGCATAATCTCATATAGATGTGTTTTCAGACTATTAAAATGTTCTATTTTATGAATCCAGATGAGGTCTTTTCTGATTTGGAGTTAAATACAATTGTATTCTAACAAAATTCTATGGTAACTTTGAACTATATATGAAATTCCTTTTTCGTTGCTTTCAGATTGTGGGAGTTTTATTACGTTAAACATGGCAGTCAAGTCTCTTTGTCAATTTAATTCATATATTAATTTGCCTACTATATGATATCATTATAATGAAAAATGTTGTTACAGTCTTATGCTCTACCGTATTTGACCACACAGACATTTTGCTTTTAGTCTTCTTTCTTATTCTGTCTCTCTTGCTTATGTGTTTTAACTGGAAAAAACACATTCCATACCTAATTAAGATCTAATTGTGGCTTATATAAATTGTGGTTTATATATATTTATATAAATGTAGAATAGGGTATTGGTGATGTGAATACTAACAAAGGGCTACGAAAATCTGATTATTTTTCTTACTTTCTATTTTTTAGTAAATATACTTGGTTAGAAAAATGTTATAGATGAAAGTCCAGTTTATATATTTAGCCTCAAAGTCTGTGGCTATCCTTTTAAATAAGTAAAATCTTTACTTTAAATAATATCCTCAAACTACAGGCCTACTTTGACTTCATATTTGCTACTTTTTGGAAAGATTTCAGACAGATTTCATATGGTATCTATAATTCTATTGGACAGAGTAATCTCTTCTCATGTTTACAGGCTAGCAGCTCAAAAGTTAGAACTTTCAGATGCGAAAGAGCAAATATACTTTTTTTTTTTTTCCAATTTAATATGCATTACCGTTGGCTCAGCATTTGAGTTGGTAAGAGATCACCCACAGTTTTCTCAAGCCAACAGATTAAAACAAATAGCAACTCAACATTTTTCCCCTTTGTTGACAGGGTGGAATTCAACTTACTCTTTCTTAGATGTGAAAGGAAGGGAAGGTCATTTCATGCTTTATTGATAAAAGTAAGGTCATAGTAATTGTTAAAGAGTTTAGGATGTTTTTTAGGCGTCATTTTTGCTTTTTGACATTCTGACTTTGTGGTATGCTGAAGTCAACAGAAAGATAATATATTTTATACAATGAATGGAATGTACAATTGTTCCTTTAATTATCAGTAAAAACACATAAGATAAGGAAGCTGGTGTAAATCAACATGATAAAGTGCATGTGGATTTGTTATATAATGAGAAAGTAACTTGTGCCTTTCGTTTGAAATGTTGGCTTACACACTTAGTCTGTTCATCAAACATTTACACACTTGGTAATAACCTTTTCCCAAATATGGCTGATATCATCATGATAACATTTTTCAGGTTAATACAAACTAGATTACAAAATTATGCTGTTTTCAAGCAAATCCAATCCATTATACTTTCGGGCTGATAGTTCTAGTTGGCTTCACTCATGTGAGAGGGCAAATGTGAAACAGGTGGTGTGGACATCAGAGGCCCCCCCAAAGAGAGTGCCACGGACCTGGGTGACTGTTCACTGGTAGACTCTTTTCTAACCAGTTTGTCCTTATGTGTAGCTACGTTTTATAGTGTGCTACAGTGTTCAGGCAGTGTTACAAATACTTCATATATATAATCAATTTATTCTTTACAACAACTCTGTGGAGACTGTTAAGATTCCCGTTTTATAGATGATAAAACTGAGCACTGGAAGGTTATGAAACCTGCCCAAGATTACACGGCCAGAAAGTGGCAGAGCTGGGATTAAATCACAACCTCATGATCTTTACTGCTAATAGTACACTAAAAACCTAGAATAGTATCTGAACAATTACCCTGTAGCTGACCCTTGGTTATCATACATCAGCCGACAGCTTCTGCTAAAAACTCACGTTCTTGGCCAAATCCTACTTTTATGTAAAACCCTTTGTTTCACAAATATCTCTTAATTTTTGACCACCTCATTTGCTTTCAGTTAGAAACAAATGTATAAAAATTATTTCTGTGGGAATACCAGAGTAACGACTCTCCTCTAATCTCCACAGTTCTGTCCATGTTTTTAAAGATTTAAGTTATTGTAATGAAAGGTGAAGATAATATTCAATAAGAGAATATAATTTTTACCTTTCGATTAGTGAGTCATCATATTTTTAGTTTTCTTTTAAAAAAATTGTTCTAGAAAATGCTTCATTTCATGTTTCCTGGAATATTTACTCAATATTATAAGATTAATGGCAAATCCTATGAGAGGAAATCACTGCATATTTCTCTGAAAATTAAATATTTAGGAACATGAGTTAAATGCTTGTTGGCGTGCAGAAGTTCACTTTCACAGCATGACTGGTTGTAGAGGCAGGAAATGCTGATCAGAAAGCCTTCAGAGTAGCGTGTGGAGCAGGAGATCCGAAAACCTGCCCACAAGGGCTGTGTTACTTTCAAGTGTGTTACACCTTGTTCTTCTGTATAAACCTTTCTGCTCCTTCTGTAAAAAAAGGTAGTACCACCCACCTGGTGGCAGCCACCTGAATTATAGACGTGGAATCGGGAGGAAGTAAAAAGGCTCTAAAGGCTTTCAAAGCTAAATCTCTCGATTGCCGCCAACTACACCTAAGGTGAGCAAACACCTCTTCAACGTGAGACAAAGTGTTAGATGAAGAAAAAGAACAACGAATGTGAATTAAAGCGCTTGAGGATCTGGAGGTCAGAGAATTTGTAAGTCAATTTAGAAGTGAAATCTTAATGCAACTTGAAAAGAGAATAGAATTTTTCATGGGTGCTTTAGTGAGATTGAGCCAGTTAATTCCCCATAAGAAGAAAATAAGAAAAGATGACAATATGAAAGAGGTGACTTGACACTTGTTCTGTGTGAACATTGCAGGGTGAAGTGGTTCATAATGATAGGAAGATGTGCTTTTATTTTTCTTAGATCTTTTCTAGTAACAAATGGGCCATAAGAAGAATAAAAGTTACACTTCTTAGTGTGTTTGACTTTAATTTGCTACAGTGGACTCTATCAAACTTTTTATACTTTAGGGCCTGGCCCCATGGCCGAGTGGTTAAGTTTGCGTGCTCCGCTACAGTGGCCCAGGGTTTCGCTGGTCCGGATCCTAGGCACGGACATGGCACCACTCGTCAGGCCACATTGAGGTGGCGTCCCACATGCTACAACTAGAAGGACCCACAACTAAGATGTGCAACTATGTACTGGCGGGATTTAGAGAGATAAAGCAGGAAAAAAAAAAAAAAAAGATTGGCAACAGTTGTTAGCTGAGGTGCCAATCTTTAAAAAACAATTTAAAAAAAAACTTTTTATACTTTAAATCTTTACTACATATACTCAATAAGGTTTTCAGAAAGGTACTTATTCCATATTTATAAAAGATTCCATTGCTTGCTTAAAAATGACCATTTTAGAAGGTGACAGCATAATTTTAGGTAAAAAATGAAGAAATGATGCAATTTAGAAGTATTGTTTTTACTGCTTTTTGAGCTATCAATACAACTTAAGTTTTTCCCCTGGGTTAAGTGTTTTGAGGTTAAACTTTCAACATGGTAAAGTCCAGAGCCACTACGTTATGCCATTATACTGAAAAACCCACATTGACTTGGGTATCAGAATCACGGAATTTTCCTCATGGGGAGAGTTCGGTGAGAAAGCAAGCCAGAAACAGTAGGTCTTGATCTGGCTGCTGTCTCTGTCCGAAGGATAGCACGTGGGGCTTGGGGCAGGGCATCAGCAACTTCCAGAGGGAGGAGTTTGGAAAAGGTTTCTCCTGGTTTTTGAGTCTTGCTTGTACTTGTTGGTGGGATCAGAGTTCAATCCCAAGGAATTTACCAGGAGTTGGGATGGGGTCCGAGAACTTGTCAGAGGGGTTGGCTTCAGGGTTGGGATTTCCTGCTAGTCAGTGAACTGGAATAAATCAGAAAATCTGGGAGAACCTCAGCCTATCGACTGTGCCCTCATAATTCTGTTGGGAGAGGGCATGCCGCCAGGCTCCTTTCCCTGGGAGTGAGATTTAGAATTAAAATTTAGACTACAGGATTAATCTCAGTCCCACCCCCCAAGTATGTGTAAGGCTTCCAGCACATTGCTGGGCTTTGTGAAGACAGGCCAGAACAGTGGGAGTTGCTCAGCCTGTAAGATAAAATTTGAACATATTATAAGACAGTGAGATCAAGGAAGGTAGAAACTGAAATGCATATATATTTCTCTAGAGATATCAATTATCAAATTTCATTTTATATATTGTCTAGAAATATAATTAATAGGACAATTAAAACAATATTTTTAATAGTGAAAATAATCCATGCTTATTGTAGGCATAGAAGATAAAAGGAATTCTGTCAGCTCAATGTTAGCATTTAAATATTCCCTTTTCATCTCTCTGTCTCTCTCTGTATTGAAATTGGAATCATATTGTCTTTATTCTTGAATGGTCTTATAAAACGCAATTTTAATGGCTGTACAATCTTCCATTGTATTGTGTCAAATTATATCTCTATAATATATTCCTGAAGTGGAATAACTAGGTCAAAAAATGGAGAACAGTTTTTAAGGTTCTTGAACCATACTGCAAAATTTCTTTCCAGAATGCTCCATGATTTATATCTGTTTCAGGAGTGTATGAGGGGACTGGTTTCACTGAGTATTATTTTTATGAAAATCTTTGCTAATTAGATAGGGGGAGTTTTTTATTCTGTTGTTCTAATATGTTATTCTTTGATCCATTCTGAGGTTCTACTTTCTTTTTTTTAATTTCTGATAGACTTATTCCACTAGACATTTGTATTTTGTCTTCTGGGAGTTTCCTGTTCATGTGTTTGCTAGTTTATCTATTGCAGTTTTAGCTTATTATTATTTTTTTTGAGATCATTATGTAATTAGTATTCTTGATTCTTTGGCTGTCATGTCACATGTTTTTATAGTTTGCTGCTTACCATTCAATTTGAACGAGTTTACTGAAGTATAGAGGCTTCACACTGTATATTCAGGTATGATGAATTTTTCTGTATAATTTCTTCTAGTTCCCAGATTTAGAAAGCCAAAAAATGACCATTGTGATGGTAATAATAGTTAATAGATGGGACATGTACTATACTTCTGGACCTATTCTGTCATCCACTCTTCATAACAATTAGGAAGTAGTTGCTGCTAATAACTTGTTTGCAGATGACAAAACCAAGACAGAGAGAGATTAAGTTACTGTCTGAGATAACCCAGTAAGTAAATGGTAGAACTGGCATTTGGACTGGTCATGTGGCTCCAGATCTGTGCTCTTTACCACTACCTCAACTCCCTGGGAGAACAGAACGGACAAGGGTATTCTTAAAATGACTGAGGTATTAATGGAAAGCATAATGGAAGATGATTTATTTAATACATGAATTTGATTCTCATTTTTCCAATATTCACTGATTTCTTTTTCTGTTGATTGTTCCAGAAGACATTTTTAAAAATTTCCATTATTATAGAATTAGAGCAATATCTTAGGAAAATATTTTGTCTAACCATAGTTCATTATGATTTTCAGTGTCATCAAATCACTGTGTGTATGACAAGACTTAACTAGACGATGAACAATTAGTTTTTAATACAAAGTTTGATAAGTTAAAAAGAACCCTGCACATTGAAAATACTGTAGTTATACCAACCATATGGATTATTCAGATTTCCTAGATTAACTCTGAATTTGAGTAATTATGGATTTGTTTTTTGTGACTTTCATGCAGTGTCTAAGAGAAATGCTTATCACACCAACAAAATAATTTTTTATGGAGCCTCTTGTTATTTAAAGTGGGAAAACAACCAGAAAATCCCTCTAATTTTATTAGTGTTTTTTAACTTTTTTTAAACATGCAAGATGCTTTTGAAGTAAGTATATCTTTGTCATTTAGTGAAAAATAGAATTTTCCTAGCAGGAAAACTGAACGTTGCGTGTCTTTGATTGGTTTCCATTCAAGAACTGGCAGAATCTCAGAGAGTACTTTCTGAATCATGGTTGTTTCTATATATTTAAGGCAGAACAGCTAATTTGGCCTAAATATAAGGAATTAAAATGATATTTTAATCAACTTTTCAAGATAGAAAACTGCTCTTTTTTCTTTCAAAGGCTTGTGGGTGAAAAAGATGCAGCCCAAGAGCTGTGGCAATGAAGGGAGCTGGGTTCAAGTTCTAGGCTTAGGCGAATATTTACCCTCTCTAGGCCTCCTTTCCTTCAGCAGTAAAATAAGCCCATTGATTTCGCCTCAGTGGATGGCTGTGGTCCCTTACAGCTCTAAAAATAATCTTTGTGGAATTGGCTGAGAGCTCCTGGAGGAGTTTACAAGTGAAATGAAAGACTCTTAAGGGTGAGACAGTTTCAACCTGACTGTGCACCTGACCAAATTTGCCAGGCTTTGAAAAATGCTGATTCCCTTCTCTAAAGGATTGTGATTCTGAATTCTAGATTCCAGACTCGGGACTGTATATTTTTAAGAGACTGATTTGTGAACCTAATGGGTAGCCAAGTTTGGAACTACTGGTCTGGAAAAGGCTCCAAGGTTGCTGTCTTTTACTCTTCTCTCTCTCTTGCAGGGCTGGGGAGGAGGACATCTTTCTGTGGACTGTTTGATTTCCGTCTTCCTCAGAGGGGAGTGTGATAGTCATTAGTGTCTTTTCTATTCCAGGAAGCAAGAAGTATTCTATCACCAGGTAAATGTTTTCATATGGGACCACGTACAGCTCTGCTTTATCTTGGAAACAAGAAACATTATTCTCTTAGCAGAGTTTAGCTTGGGGGTGGGGAATAGGAAAGGAGATACGTAAAGGTTTAGCTGGACATTTGCCGATTGCCTTTCCCCTCCGTTATTGTTGTTTGTTAAACTATTTCTCAGGTGCTATGGGAAGTACTCAGCATACGTTGTTTCATTTCATCTCATCAACAACTCTTTAAAGGAGAGGATGTATTATAATCTATTCTTTTTTACAGATGAGGAAAATCAGAAGCAGAGACTTTGTTTACCCGGTGCAGATAACCTGGCTGGAATTGTAGAATAGTGATTTGAATTTAGGTCAGTCTGACTCACAGTATTTTTAAAAGATACAGTGTCTGTGGTTTTCCAATAGTGTTCTTAAGACCTCCTGGAGGATCATGAGAAAGAGGTAAAATGGTTTCTATAAAGAGCATTTATCTGATATCATAATTATAAATGTAGGAATTAGTTTAAAATGTTATCACTGTTCCAGTTTGGGTGGCAATGCAACTTGAATGGATAGCTCTTCACCTTCAGAATTGCTTATAGGTAAGTGCAAAATTGTCACCAGGCAAAATTATGAGACCCAGTGGGCTCTTTTGCTTCTCCTCCTTCTCCTGCCGCTCCTCCAAGTTCCTTGGGTTTTTAGGCAGTACCAGTTCTGAGCACAGGGCTCTTTACACTATATCCCCTTTCTGGCAGCGTCCCATAGAAACATTTAAACCTGGACCTGGAAAAGTAATGGAATTCTAGTTCACCTCCCTTCTTCCCCTGATGAGGCAGCTGTGTTAGCTGGATTCCAGTCCAGAGTTCTTTCTTTCAGAAGATGATTCTGGATCGGAGGTAGCTTTTTGGGACAGAGTATCTGTGAACTCTGAAGACTACATGCCAGAGTTGTCTGTACATTTTCTGGACCGTAACTTCATCAGAGTTTCCAAGGAGTCTGTGTCCAAAAAACAAGACAGAACAGAGAGTTTTTGCATTCCATCACGGTGGCATTCTAGATGGCTTTATCTTACATTTTCTATCTCTGCCACTAATCAGATATTACTGTGATAGCTCATTCTCCAAGGCTTTTTCATTCATTACTAACACACATGCTCATTTGTTTATACCTTTCTTCTATTTTCACAAAGTATTTGAGATTGTTCATGTAAAATATCAAATAACTTGTTAGTAATAATTTGATTTTTATCCAAGGGGAATGCATTTCAAAATGTAATGTATATATATTAATACATTTCATAAGCATTTCATCTAGTATACTTCCTTAAAAGATGGTTTCTAGATGGAGAATTCTTTATTGCAGTTTGGTCAATATATATAAAATATAGAGATTTTGAGGTATAAAATATAGGATGCCTATTTAGCTTGACTTTTTCTTTCTAAATTATATTTGCTTCATTGTTATGATTTTGCCAAGCTTTAATTTGACTGTTTTTCTAATCTAGAGGTTGAAAACTTGAATGCCTTGGGGTTGATAGGAGTAGGGTTGGTTCAGGGCGGGACAATAGGGAGTAGTAGGAACTATAACAGAATAGAAAGTAATCACACTGCTGAAGATTTTACATTCACATTGTAGGAAAAACACTGATAATTTAACAAACATAGGCAGGGGAAGATGTCTCTGACCCCTCTTCTACTTCTTTTGTGGAACTAAAGATATGTCAATAATTTGGATACATTTGCAATTAAACTATTATAAACTAAAGCAATTGATTTTTCAGTTATGCTTTGAGGAGCATGCCATTTTTTGATCCATATCTCTGTTCTTCATTAAGCTGAAAATTCCTGGAGTAGATAGACTCCCCAGAACCTACCGGAGTGTTTGGCACACAGTAGGTGTGTTGAAAACACATTTAGTAGTATAGTCAGTTCCAGTCCCTTGTTATTCCCCAAATCTGTCTACTCCTATGCATCTCCACCGTCAATACCCTGATCTGCTGTCTTTTGCCTAAATCACTGTTGTAACTTATAACCTATGAAAAGATTTTTTCTGGCTCTGGTGTGATCCTTGTCAATCTCCTTTCCACACTGAAGCTAGAGAGATCCTCCAAGGATTCAAAACTAATGATATAATTCCTTCAATTAAAAGCCTTTAATAGATTTCTAATGCTTTTGGGGTAGAATCTTAATTAGCTGCCTATTCATCTAACTTCATATAAAAAACTGACCTGAAGTCAGCTAAATGGAGGATCCACCCAAATCAGATAAGAATTATGACCCCTCTAGGGAGGTATCAGAAATTTTACATAACCTTGTTTAGGTGTTACAGAATTTTTAGACATTAATAAGATAACATCTTATGAAATATCAACTGCAGAGTTAAGGTTCATATTTCCAGATTGTGGCTTGTTAATTGCAAAAATGGCCCCAGTTCTTCCCTTTTTGTTGTTTCTATCTCTGCAATGTGACTTTGCAGTTCTTCCTATTAAGAAGTGGAGTCTGTTTCCCTACCTCTTGAGTCTGTGCTGGCCTTGTGATTCGCTTTAGCTAATAGAATGTGGCAGAAGTAAAGGTATGCCAGTTCCCAGCTTAAGCCTCAAGAGCCCTTGCTTGCTTCTTCTCTCTTTTGGAACCCTGCCACTGCCATGAGAACAAGGACAGAATAGCCTGGTGGAAGGTGAGCAGCCAAGTGGATCACAGCCAAGCTGTTATACTTGAGGCCGGCCATTCCAGACTAGCTACCAGCCAGCTGACCCTGAAACATGTAAGAGAGTCCACCTGAGATGAGCAGAGCCAGCTACCCAACCTGCACCTGACCGCACCTGTTTGAATGAGCTCAGTTGAGACCTGAAGGACCTTCCAGCTGACCCATAGGTTCATGAGCAATAATTAATGTTTGGAGGCACAGTTTTAGGGTAGTTTATTTTTGTAGCAATAGCTAATAGGTACACAAATAGTGCCTTTTCCATCCAGTCACTGAAAAGAAGACTCAATAAAAAAGGAGCTAATTAGAAATGTTGCATCTTTATTAGAAAATCATCATTATCGATGTTTAGAAGGGTCTGACAAATGCATCTGCTTATTCCTAAGAATTTGCATAGAATGATGGTGGAGTTTGAACATTTTCCTATTCTGATTTGTTTTTTGACTGGAGCCATTGGAGCTAACATATTTATTACCAGAGAAGAAACTCATAGAAAAGACATTTTGCCAAAATAGCTATCATATCAGTTTTGAATACAGTGTTCAATTTATATAGAAAAAGAACATGACTTTCATTTCTGACATTACAGCATAATAACTATTTTGAAATATCTTTCAGAATTTTTAAAATATAGAATATAAAAAGGGCAATCTAATGTTAAATATGACTTTTAAATGCATTGCTGAGCTAGCAAGGGAAGTCAACAGAGGCCAAAAATAAGAAAACGTGAATCTAGAAAAATAACAGTTTGGATCTGACAGTCTCGTGACCCAACCCTGAAAGTGTGGTGTTCTCAGCAAAAGAGGATGTACTTGGTTCAAAACTTTTCCTACAGAAGGAAGCTTATTAAAAGTTGGGAAAATAAGACAATAGAAATAAGTCCAAATATATCAGCAATCACAATAAATGTAAATGTACTGCAAATGTAATATAATGTTCAAAGGTAAAGATTATCTCACGACATTGAAAAAAATCCAGGGCCGGCCCGGTGGCACAGTGGTTAAGTGCGCACAGATTCTGCTTCAGCAGCCCAGGGTTCGCCAGTTTGGATCCTGAGTGCAGACATGGCACTGCTTGGCACGCCATGCTGTGGTAGGCGTCCCACATATAAAGTAGAGGAAGGTGGGCATGGATGTTAGCTCAGGGCTAATCTTCCTCAGCAAAAAAGAGGAGGATTGGCAGCAGTTAGCTCAGGGCTAATCTTCCTCCAAAAAAAAAAAAAATCCACCTATGTGCCATTTACAAGTACCATGTCTAAAACGTTAAAAAATGGCCAGCCCTATGGCGTAGAGGTTAAATCTGGTGCACTGTGCTTCCACAGCTGGCTTCATGGGTTCAAATCCGAGGCATGGACCTATGCCACTCGTCCAGCCATGCTGTGGCTTGAAACCATAGAAAATAGAGGAGGATTGACATAGGTGTTAGCTCAGGGCTGATCTTCCTCAAGCAAAAAAAGAGGAAGATTGGCAACAGATGTTAGCTCAGAGTGAATCTTCCTCACCAGAAAAAAAAAAAAGGTAGAAAATAAAAAGTGAAAAAATATATATCAGCCAAATAACAATAAAAAGTAAGCTTGGGTAGATAGAACATAAGAAGTCACACTTTAAGATTAACATCATTACTACAGATAAAACAAGGTCACGACGTTTTGGTAAGAAATTCAAACATCCCGAAAGAGACAGCACTTCTTAATTTGTGTGTATCTAAAAGCATGGTTTAGATTTTTTTATAAAACTAAAATTAAGTGAGTTCACAAGTTGAAGTTAACAAGTGAACCTTTTCAGTAGATTTGAATGTAATGCTCTTTGCTATTGACTGACCAACAAGGTCCCAAATCAGCAAGCATATAGAAGAGTGGAGCCACACAAATGTGACATTTGACATAATGGCTCTGTGTTGTGTACTGCACTGCAAAATTGTTGAATACACATTCTTTTCAAATTCATGAGAAACATTTTCTAGAAGTGACCATAGATCTTCCAGGTAGCTGAAGACAATGGAGGGTAGTGTAGTAGGTAAGCTCCCCAAATCTCCTCTCCAAATGATATGAAACAAATTTACAACTACTAAATTTCTATGCAAAAGTACACTTTCAACATTACTTGAAGACAGAAGATGTAGAGATGGAGGTAACGTGAAGCCTGCTGTCCTGCACACTCCTGGTCCACTGTTATGCTCATGGGGCAGAGCTTTGCAATGTACAAACGCAGCCTGAGGACAACTGCTGGGAAGAAGAAGAGTGATGCTTACGAGGGACCCTGAGGAAGAGCTGGAGAGACCACCACAAGGACTAGATACAACCCAAACCTGAAAACACTAAAAAAGAAACTGGGAAGATCAGAGCAAGACTTCAGAGAAAGGATTTAAAAGTCGGTGTTATTTAAAGGGCCAGACCAACAATTTGATGGGAAAGTTTGAGAAATGCATGGCTTTTCAGGGAGGGGAAAAGGGAAAAAGGAAGTAAGAAGGGTTCTTTGGCAACTGAATGGTGAAGGAGTAAAGAGGGAAGGGGGTACATTTTGGGTTCTACAAAACAAAAAACCACAGTCTTGAAGGACTGACAACTCCCACCCCCACCCCCAAGTCAAGTAAACTAACAGATGGACGAAACAAACCAGCTGAAGCACCTGGACTTTGCCAGACTGACAGAAAAGAGCACCCAAAATAT